GTTGTCCGTTCCACGGTTGGGGGGGGGGGGGGGGGCGTACTCATTTGTTGCTTGCCGTAGTCATTTGACCATTGACCACGCGTCCCTTTCGAGATGGAGCACCGTTCCTACCCCTACTAGAGACACCACCAACATTTGGGAGCTCTTTACGTTTCTGCCACAAACTCCATAAAAATTTCTTGCACATTTTATCCCCGTCCTCTAGGGCCTCTTGTGCCCACCATTTATCCCCAATTATCGCGATCGTTTTTTCGCTGTTGTCTAATTTACCGAACTTGTCCATGTCACACCCTCTCTGTCTCATTTCCTCCTCGAGATCCTCTCTTTCCTTCCTGTACAACTCACACTCCCCAACTATGTGGGGTCTACTCTCCTCCGATTTGCCACATGGACATGTGTGTCTACCCTCCTCTTCCTCTCTCCTACGGCTGGTATACCTCTTCCTCCGTTCTGGCAAGTCCAGATCGCCTACTCGAAATTGCAATTTCAGCTTTTTCGCGTAGTCCATGGGGCCGTCCAAGTACGTCTTCATCCCTATCCCTTCTTTCAACTTCCCGTATATCTCCAAGTGGTCTTCGCTTCGTACCTTCTTCCGAAGGGTTGCCTCCTCCCTACTCTCTAGCATCTCCTCGACTTTCGTCTTGAACCCCCCGAACCCTTCCGTGTCCAACGTCTCCTCCTCGTCTCCTATCTCCTTCCAAACCTTCTCTACCACCTTGTCCAATCTGATTCCCTTCTTCCCTGGAGTCGCTTTTCCCCAAGCTGCCTTGTCAACCATGGCTGGTAGCCTATCGTCCGACATTCTACTTACCTTGTACTGCCAATTCAACTTCTGCATGTCTCTCTTTGTTTTAAGAGAGTACATTCCCAATTCTGCTCTCAATACAGTGTTGCTCGATGTACTTGAACATCCTAGTATTTTCTTGGCCGCTGCCATCTGCACCGTTTCCAGCCGCTTGAGCCTTTTCGTTACCTTCCCATACCTCTCCTGCATACTCTAGCTTAGGTACAATCACATTCAAGAGAATACACCTCTTAATCCTAGTGTCTAGGTGTGGGTCCGTAAGGATCTCGTCCATCTTGCATATCTGAGCTTTACCCTTCCCAATCAACTTCGCTATGTGTGCGTCCCATGAGCACTCCTTCGAAATCTCTACTCCAGGTACGTATACTTGTCTACTACCGGTAGTTCTTCCTCCCCCCATTTGAATTCTACGGGATTTTTCTTGTCTTCGGTACAGACCACTACTGCGCATTTTCCTACGTTCGCCGAAAGTCTCCATTTTCGGGTGTATCCTACCGCCGCATCTATTTGTTCTTGCAACCCTTCTGGTGTTTCGGATACCCCCACGAAGGTCGGGGGGGCGGGGGGGGGCAGCGGCTAGGAAGTGCAAAGGGGTTACCGTAGTACACAGAAGCCAATAACAACAGCAACAACAACAACAGCAACAACAACAACAACAACAACAACAACAACAACAACAACAACAACAACAACAACAACAACAACAACAACAACAACAACAACAACAACAACACGACCGATTTCGACAATACTGCGGTACTCACGTTGGCGTACTTGTCGTACTGCTTAGCGGCGTCCACCTCCTCGTCGAAGACCCCTAGGTTAGTCTCGCCTCCCACCGAAGGACGAATGATGTAGGCCACCCAGCGGGACCCTTGCTTCCGCACGCCCAGGTACCTGACGCGATGACGGAGGGAGTAACAAAAAAATAAAAACGCAGAAACCACTATTATAATACTGCTTGCGAATATGTTGTGCTCTCGCCTATAGGTCATGCCGCCGTTTGATTGACAGCACGCGGTTTTCCGCGAGACGCATCGCCGACACCCATTCCTGAGAAGCTATTAGCTACGGAGTGCACCTGCTCTTGAGAATCTGGGAATTAACAACACCACGCTGAACAAGACAGAAACTTGAAGAGCTTCGTCAAAAGAAGGACAGGTGGTATCGGAGAGTACACAAGGAACACCATTGCCGCAACAAGACAAACCGCGCCGTTCGGAGACCAACCCACACTCACTTCGAGTCGGGACTCCTGACAGCAGCAGCGGCAGCGCTAGCAGAACCACCCCCACTCTTGCCAGCGCCCTTTCCGTCCTTTCCGTCCTTTCCGTCCTTTCCGTCGGCTGCGCCCTTGTCAATCTCGCTGCTGCTCTTCTTGGTTTCCACCACCGCCTTGGGCGACTTAGCAGAAGCACAAGCAGAAACACACGCAGACCCGGAACCAGACCCGGAACCGGATCCGGAACCAGAGGCAGTGGCAAAACCAACACTTGTCTCCCGATTCCTTTTGCCACCGCCACCGCCACCAGAACCAGAACCAGAGGCGGACACAGCAGCAGCAGCACCAGAACCGGATCCGGGACCAGAGGCACTAGCAGCGCCAACAGTTGTCTCTCGATTCCTCTTGCCACCGCCGCCTTCTCCGGCCTCCCCTCCGCCAGCGCCACCCTTGTCCCCAGCAGCCCCAGCGGTCACAGCGGCAGCGGCGGTAGCAGCAGCTGGTAATGACGCAACACCCGCCCCACTCTCCGCCACCGCCTCCTCTGCAACGGCGGCTTCGGCTTCGGCTCCGCCATCGGCGGCAGGCATGGCAGCGGTTACCTCGCCGGCTACGACGGGCGGAGCGGCGGCGGGAGGGGGGGTAGTCTTGCCTCCCGCCGCCGCGGCGGCGGCAGCGGCGGCGGCGAAGGGGTTGGGGGGGGCACCGTAGATTCCGTCGGTTTCGGCGAGGGGGGTGACCTTCGCCAGCGGTTCCAGGGAGGTGGTCATCTCGATCTCGGGTACCTGGGGTAAGAGGGAAGAGGGAAGAGGGAAGAGGCAAGATGGAGGGTTTGGTGTTGGCATTGTCGGGACGGATGATGTCGTCGTCAAGTGTGTAGAGAAAGAGGGGATGGATTAGAGAAAGAGGGGATGGATTAGAGAAAGACGGGATGGATTAGAGAAAGACGGGATGGATTAGAGAAAGAGGGGATGGATTAGAGAAAGAGGGGATGCATACAATGGGTGGGTGAGGATACTGTCGCATGCAAGAAACAAGAGAGAGCTTTCATCGACCAAAACAAAAGACCCTAATTCCTCTCGTGTGACCCCGGCTGACACGCCAGGTAAATACGAATACGCCGAAAGGCCTGTAAACCGGCGCCAGAACAGATGGGACGAACACACACACGCAAGGGAACAGACGTAAAAAACCTCCCAAAAATAACAACAACAACAACAACAACAACAACAACCTCACCTCATGAAACGGGTCCACAGCCACTAGCCGTTTCCTCACATCCTTCTTCAGCAGCAACCTCCCGCTCTCCTTGCACCAAACCAACCCCCCTCCCCCGCCCCGCCCCTCCTGCAAAACCTCCCCCGCGGCGCTCAGCAGAGGCCGGGCGCCCAGCTCCTCCAGCAAGGCAAGGCAGCGGTAACCCTTGCCGAGGAGGTCTTTGAGGCCGGACCGGCGAGATCGGCTGGAAGGTCGAGCTCTGCTGCTGCTGCTGCCGCTGCTGCTGCTAGCGCCGCCGACGCCGCCTCCTACGGCAGAGAGAACGATGCCCGCGGACTCTGCCAACACCTACCAAAAAAAAAGCAGAGTTGGGTGGCGTTTTGGGGTTCGGTACTGTAGTTTTGTTCGGCGGCGAAACTAGCCGAGATTCTCCGGTGTGGTGCGGGAAGTCATCATGAAGGCAGCGTGGGGAAGGCAGCGAGACACCCAAAAAAATCGCGCAATCTAAGTGATATTCAAGGAATACATATACATATTTATATAGTAATAACAATATCAATAATAATAATAACAACAATAATAAAAATAGGCCATGGTGGAAATAATAATGCGGTAACACAATCGCGGCACGGCAGGAAACCGGCCGGCCGGTACTCACGTGCGCAGCCTCGTGGTTCGGCCGCGGCAGACCCCCCCCCCCGTCGCCCTTGCCCTCCCCCGCGAAGACGTAGGAAAGCCCGCTGTAGTCCCCGCCGGAAACGGCCGTCCCCGTCGGGGTCGGAGAGGTCCGCCCCGCCGCCGCTGCCGCCGCCGCCGCCGCTGCTGTGCCCTTGGGTGTGCGGCGACGGAAGCGCTTGTCGGCGAACACGTCACCCCCGCCATAGTCACCCTCGTAGTCTTCGCCGCTGGTTTGGTGCAAGGGGCGGGGGTACAGCAGCACACGTGAGTGAATTTGTGTTGCTTGGACACGTAGCGAGTCATGCATATATAGCACGTGTGAAATGGCGCTGCTAAAGACATGTTAAGGTCCAGCACATGTGCATTGCATTGGTGCCACGAAGACATGTAAGTGAGTCAGCACATGTGAAGTGGCGCTACTACGTGAGCCGTAAGCATATCTAGTTCATGCCGTGAATGAAGAGGGGGAGGGGTACCACACAAACAATGTTGATGTTATAGGTGTTGTAGTTCATGACACGGCGGTAGGCTGCTGTTGTTGCAACTTGTGGCGTGCATGCGTTTCTCCTATAGAAACCCCCCCCGACAGAGGCAAAAAGGGCAATTTCACAACATACGACGGTGTTGCACCAGGACGTTGTTGGCCTACACCAACAACCACCCGTGTCCCCGGCGGCACGCCAGAGTAACATGTCACAAACCTCCCACAACACCCAGAATATGTCCGAAAACCGTGATCATCTCCCATGACACCCAGAACATGCCCGAAAAACGCTGAGCATCTCCTGTACACACCCAGAACACCTCCTGAAAACGCTGGCACTTGTTCAGCACACACACTCATGGTTGTACTGCAAAAACCCGCCCCCGGGAAAGTGTTACCAAAAGCTACACCCCCCCTGCCGCCGTTTACACTATGCGGGGCGCCATGCATCTGAAACGTAAGGGCGGAGGGTGCCGTCCTTAACTCTTTTCGTCCTTACGAAGACCCCATCATACAGTACACACATCACCGCAGCTCGTACCTCGCCTCGAGCGGGCGCTTCGTGCCCACCCCACTGCCACCAACCGCCATGGCCCTCTTTCTCCGGGCCGCCTTGTCTAACTTGTCCGACTCTCGCTGGGCAGCCTTGGTGCGGCACCAGCGGTCCACGCAGGGCTGGTTACGCTGGCCGGACCCCCCGTACTCAATTCGGTGTTGGCAGCCCCTGTTTTTCCGGCGAAATTGGGGCAGAATAAACCATCACGAAACGCAGATATATGTATGCCGGCATTGAAATCGTACGCAGAACGAGCCTTTTTCGCTGTTTTGCTTCTTGTTGTGCAAAAGATTTACCGGCCTCGGTAGCAGTACTTTTGCTGTTGGCTTTGCTTGACAGATGTCACTATCAGCATGGGATGGCGAGGCAAGGTACCCAAGAGGTCTTGTGACAGCTTTGTGGGGAAAAAACACGAAACACTGGCCTTGCCAACGCAAGCAAGCATCAAGCAGCGGCCCTTTGTTGTTGGCCTCTTGACACAATAGCTTCCCATCCTCAGAGACCCATCCATCGACTAAGCGTGCACTCGACGGCTTAAGCCGCTGTCGGGCGGCGTACTCTAGACAACGCACACTTCCATCCGACCCCCCCCCCCCGTTATACTCAATGTGGTATTCCCCGTACCCCCTCCCTGCTGCAGGATCTCACCAACACTTTCCGCAGTTGGGCAGCAGGCATCCCGTGCACTGGTTGCAGCGCTCGTTGGCGCCCAGCCGTCTGCGTGGTGCCGTTTGTCGTGGATTCCTCCAGGAAGATAGGGGGGGGGGGCGGTGAAATGGAAGGGGGGGGAGGGGGGGGCGAACTCATGTTTTCAGGATGTGCAGTTGGGAAACATGTCGAGAGGGCGAGAGAGCAAAAAACAAAAATATTTTGAAAGGATGTACCGCAATTAGGAAATAATAAAACATGACGATACCCGTTTGGCCTTGTTCAAGGAACGTCACAACGGGCTTCTCCCCTTCATAAAAAAAAAAAAATCAACAAAGCAACACAGCCAACTCCGTCTTCTTGTAGGAGAGCAGAGCCCCGACAAACGCTGCAAAAACACCAAGGCCATACAATAGACTACGCAGAGAGAGAGAGAGAGCGTTGAGAGCCTCCGGTACCCCGGTGCAAGCATCCCTCATCCCTCATCCCTCACCGGTGGAAACCTTCCACAGCCCCCTCCGTCGATCGTACCCGGGGAGGTTCGTTCGCGCCGCCTAAACAAACGCGATGCGTGCATACAGATGCGTGACGGTCGGGCGGACAGAGTTGGCAACAAGCACGTACAGGCAAGTCCCGACAATGACAGGACTGACGAAAATACAGCACGTCTGCGCACACATTATACGGTCGTTCCTCCTCTTTTTCGTAAGGCGGCAACACGCCTCTCAAATAACACTCCAAAAATGCGAAGTTCTACGTACACGCATAGCATTGAGGACCAAACAAATACGCTTGCACAAACACACCACAAGCCGCCCGTGCGGGACATGACACGCATACACCACAGCAATGCACAACCATACCAGGGCTGCTGACGTAGCAAAAGAAAACCTCTCTGACAACGCACAACACCGACGTACCGCTTCGACCACTACCGCTGACGCTCCGGGCCTCCTCGTCGCGTGCGGAAACCCCGCTGGCGGCGCTAGCACGGCCGTCCGGAATGGCCTCCTACAAAAAAGGGGGCGTTTGTCGACATGGGGGGCGGGTGAGGGGGGGGGGACTACCTTGGGTAGGGAGGAGGGGAGGAAGATGACGGATCAGAACGAATCGAGAACCTGGCCAAACAACTGAGGTACGGAGAGAGAGAGAGAGCGGTCGATCACGACTGTTTCTGATAAAACTACTCATGACTGGGACGGAGCTGCTGCTGTTGTGCTGCTGCTGTTAATGCTGCCGCTGCTGCTGCTGCTGCTGCTGCTGCTGGTGTGGTGCTGCAGATACCTTCACGTGCCTACCAGCTGCACCGTTCATCTCCCGCTTGGAGAAACAAGCCGCGACAAACAACACCAAAAAATAACTGCGCACAACAGACAACACCTCCTTGACCCTACCACAACGAAAAACACACAAAACAGGAGAGAAGCAACATCCCGACAAGCTGGTCTTGAGGCATACCGTCGTGTTGTCAAGCAAAATCACCATCATCTGTGACACCGCTGCCAAGCGTTGACATCCAACTCACCCTTTCCCACCGGGGCGGAACCGCTTGCTTTTGGATTCGACCTAGGGTAGGCGGCGGCTGCCCGCCCTTCAGCTTGAATCTGTACGCTCAAAAACGCACACACGCATCGAATCCCATCGCATCAACACGGGGGGAGGGGGGCACGTTGGAAACGCGCACAGGAAGCTATCGCCTCCTTTCGCATTTCGAAGAAAAGGTTTGAGGCTCCTCAACCTCTCGACCGCGGGGTTTCTGTCAGGCGGTGGCGTTAATCCGTGGGGGGAGGTAATTCGACCCGCCTCGCCGAACACAAGTGGCGTTAGTCCGTGTGTGTGGTACAGCAGTAGCGGTGTTAGTTCGACCCGGCTCGCCGCAAGACAACTTCTGGACAGCCAAGGCAGTGGCGTTCGTCCGTGCGTGTATGCGGGCGAATCACAGTAGCGGCAAAATTTCCACCAACCTCGCCGCAAACAGGGCCCGCTCGACACAAGGTTTTTCATTAGGCGGCGGCGTTACTGTAGTCCGTGCGCGTGTATGGGGGGGTAGCAGTGCTAATTCGACCCACCTCGCCGAAGACACGGCCCACTCCGCCATGTAGAGCGGCAGTCCGGGGGGCTTGCAGTAGATGCAATGGCTGTTGCGGCAGGCGAAGCTCTCGAACCTGGACGTGTATCGATTGGCCGATTGCGTGCGGCAACAGGGGCGAAAAGAGATACAGAGAGATAGAGAGACGGAGACAGAGACAGAGTAAGACACAGAGCGAGAAGGAGAGAGTGGCATAACACGGCGCGATGATTGGCGAAAGAGACAATACCGTGGAATATTACCGTGGAATACAAAACCGGAATCCGATATGTACCAGGTGAACGCGTTGCTGGTGTGGTACGGTTCAGCCAGTGTTTCCGGGTCGCAATCCCCGGGAAAGGCAGAAACCGTGGACGTGCTGGAAACATGTTGCTTGTACTTCTACCACCACTACCACTACTACCGCCACCACTACGACAATCGCCACAGCACGCGCCCGCGGACAACGAGTTACTACTTAGACTGATGTACCAGTTTCGTGTTTTATTCCTAAGCTGAGAAACAAAAACGGACTCCTTTTTCGTTGGCCAACAACCGGCTTGGCAGCGCCGTCAGAAGACCAGCCCATCCTCTCGTCTCAACGCGCCCACCTCGTTGTGGCCCTCTCCCCCTGCCTCCGGATGTACTCTGCGATGCCCTTGGAACAGTTGCAGCTCCTCGTGTACTGCCTGCACCCCTTGCACCGCCACGGGCACTCGAGCTCGTCCGTGAAGAACGAGTGGGCCGTGCGGTTGAGGGGGTGGCAACGGCTCCTGTCCAGCACGAAACAGAAGCAGCAGCAGCAGCAGTAGCAACCGCATACATAGACAATATGTATGCGCATTGATTAGAATGAGTGCTCGCGTTTGTTTTCCCGCAATTGTGAGAGTGACGTCTTTTCATTGGTCAGCCGGTTAGCGCGGTCGATGAAAATTCAATAAGCGGACGGACAAACAAAGCACACACGCGCGTGTAGGGCAGGCCCCAACACGGGGCGCGAGGTACACGAGCGACAGCAGCGGAGTAGATTCCGTGGGAGAACACTGCGGTTAGGACAGGCTGGACTTCCAGGTTTCTGCGGTTCGTTTTGGCGAGATTTTACCAGCCTCGACCAACATACCGAGAGGTGCAAGGACCCAACAATCCAACCGTCGTTGACATGGATTGCCGTTAAAACACCAAAAAAAAAAAATGCTTCTACTTGCTGTGATTGGTCAAGCAGGCAAATATCCGCCCCGCATGACTGCGCCGCGTGCAGCCGTAGGAGAACATTTTTGCTTCAAACAAAACAAAACGAAAATTCCTCCTCTCGGTTACTCCCTCTCCACCGCCCCGGAGACACGGAGACACGGAGACACCATCTACAACACGCCTCACCGCATAATCAACTCCCGTCCAAGAGCAGAGCAGACAGCTCTCCTTCTCCAAGACGAACACTTACCAAAACCGTTACATACACAAGAAAAGGTACCTGACCCTCACCCCGACTATTTTTCCCAGCAAGCCTCTCTCTCTCCTCCGAAAAATCAACAAAACACCTCCACCAAAAATCCGTCGTTTCACCTCGGGCTAGTCGAATCGGCACCAGACCCCCCGCGCCCCCCATCCCGTCCGCGCGCACCCGGGTACCACCCCGCCCTCGCGCTCGCCGCGGGGGACCAAGGCCTCGTCGCCCTCCTGGTCCACCGATTGCCCCGCTTGGGGGCCCCGCCGGTCCTCGCCCTGGGGGAGGGGGAGGGGGAGGGGGCGCCGGTGGCGACGTCAACATCTTCCGCGTCCGACGGTTCGGTTGGCCACCGGCCACCACCCCCCGTTCCAGCAGACACGGGGCCCCCGTGGCCGCGGCCTCCGGCGGCGGGGGCGGCTGGGGAGGGGGACGACGACGACGACGGGCCTCGGCCGCTGGGCGTGGCGGGCGTGGCGGGCGCGGCGGTCACCCGCTTCTTGTTTTCTTCTGCAGCCTGAAGGGCGGACAGCTGTATTCGCCGGCGCAAGGTCGTCAGTGTCGTTTTTCGCGATTGTCGGGGATAAGAAAGAAAAAGAGAGCCGGGAGAGAAGGAGAAGGGAGCAAGTTAACATCCTCGAGCAAGCAAGAAACGGGGGGATATGTTGCTGTTCGGGGTGCCGCGTGGGCACGGAGGGGCAGGGAAAGGTTGGGGACCGATCTGGTGGCTCAGGGGGCAAGCAGGACGGCGCCACCATGGAATATAGGCGACAGAACAAGACATCACACCTCCTGGACAGATTTGCAAAAGCTCGATACCTCCACAGCAGAAGGAGCGACGGTGACGTCAATGCTGGCGTTGGAAGCGTCGCCGAGAGAGAGAGAGAGAGAGAGAGAGAGAGAGAGAGAGAGAGAGCTTTCCGAAAAGGTTGCATCAATTGATGCGCGCATGCTCTTCGCGTCGTCGAGTGTGTAGTCGAGCTTTCACAATCGGTCCGGGGGGGGGCGGTGATATAATGCGTCATACGCCACCTACGGTATCACGATGAACATCCTGCTGTAGCCCCACATGCCCTGCAAGTCCGTTCGCACAACAAATAGCGGCGAAATCAAACTGTCCGATACACGTACACCTCACTTCGACCCCGCACCTGACGAGCCCACATAACTCCCGCGGAGAAATCAATGAGCCATTCCCCCGCCTCCGCCCCTAGGCCTTCATCCCCAGACGGCATCGGGAAAATGTCCGACTCCTGCAGCAGGCGAATAGAAAAAATAACAGCATGCCAACCCGGATGTGTACAGCAACGCAACGGTGGTCGAGACACGACGATCGCAAACACCACAAACGTGGAAGAACAATGACGGTTTCGTAACTAGCTCCGAGCGCAGCCCAATGACAATGGGTAGACGTCATATCAGGGGTGGGGGCACGTTTGAAGGCGAGAGGCGCTTCGCAAATGACGAATCGTACCTATTCTATTTCTGAGTGGGTAACGCCCCACGGCGTGACAAAAAAAAAAAAAAAACGCACGAGCTAGGGCCTTCCTTGCAAGCGCGCGAGGTTGAGTCGAGGAATTTTTTTTTTATCTACTTCATTCGACAAACTAAATAGTGTGGAGTTTCTCAGCGTCAGGACCGTAGATGCTGGTTTGCATCCCCAACTCAAACACACACATACACCAACAAGGTTTGTTTAAACGTATGATAGGCGTGTTTGTATCGTCGACCTGTGGCCGAACATCGGGGTATCTCTTCCCGGCCGGGGTAATCAAAGCCGACGAAGCGCCCCCTCGCCCCCCCCCCCCCCCCCCATCCCCTCATCGGAGGAGACAGGAAGGGCAGAGAGGAAAGCCCTCCCGTGCTAACGCCGGTAGTAGCAGCGGCACAAGGGAGGGCTTAAGGCGAACGGGGGAATCGCTGTGCGTTATTGCTCTCGCGCGCGTGTCGTTCCTCGGCAGGCGTGGGGCTCTCGCCCGCCAAGGGGCTAAAAGCGGCTCACAGACAATTTCTTGATGTAATAAAAGGAAAAAAATTAGGGCAGGAGCGCTGAAAAACAACGTTCCAACAGAGCGCAGGGGACCGAATATCTCGCCCACCAAGGGGCCAAAAGCGGCTCACAGACCGAAACTTCGGTAAACAAGGGCAGGAGTAGGGAAGAAACGCATGTCCCAAAGAGTGCACAGAAGCGCGACTCTCGCCCGCCAACGGGCTAAAAGCGGCTCACAGACAAGTGGTAATTCGACAACACAAGATAGGGACAGAGCAGGTAAAAATGATATCCCGCCACAGAAGAGGTGCAGAGAAGCGTGAGCCTTCCCGGCCAAGGGGCTAAAGCGGCTCACGAAAAAAAAAATCCTCTAGCCTAGTGGGGGCCCCGCAGCATCCTTCGAGAACGCCCCAGGGGGGTGAAAAAAACATCGCCACGTGAAAAAACATCACCTGCGGGCGTTCTCAGACATACATAACCGCCTGCTGCGGCACTTGGCGAGACCTAACCGACGCGGCGATGGCCCCGCTACCTCGCTACGCATCCCTCCTCCTTGCCACACTTACCGATACCCAGGCGAAATAGTGATGTCCCCCCTCGCACAGGAACACCAGCAGGGCGCGAAGCGCACGGTGTGCCTACGGTATGTTTGCGGTCCAAGCGAAAAGCACAAGACAGAACGAAAGCAATCGTGTGCATATTTCGCGAACGCGAAGATTCTGAGTGCGGACAGGATAGCGCATATCCCATGGTACATATTGTACGCCTAAACGAGTGCTGCTCTGCCCCCACAAGAACCCCAAGTTCAAGACCATACAAAAAAAATAAAATAGAAATAAAAAAAAACGAGGCTCGCAACCAACCACAGCACCGCAAAGTTTTCCAACAAACCGAGGGCTGACGATCATTCAAAACCAACACAAAACACATCCCCTTCGTCTTCCTTCGATTATATATGTTTTCTAAAAAAATCCGACGAAATTTCGCCCTACACGGCAACACGCCTCTCTCGCCAGCGACGGTTCGACCCACCTGCGCCTCCGCGTTCAAGTCCGAGTGCGCGAAGCTCTCCTCCACCTCATCCCTGTCGCAGAGCCTGGCCGGCCAAAGGTTTCCCCCGCGGTTTGGGTTCTTGGCCAGCACGATCGACGGCCGCAGCAGTCCCCCGGAGTCCCCCTCCTCCCCGCCGCCGCCCTCCTGTTCCTCCCCTCCACCAGCGGGGGAGGGGGTGGCAGCGGCGGCGGCGGCGGCGGCGGCAGCATCCCGGCCGGTTTTGTCGGTGAAGGAAATCGCGGAGCGCCCGCTGCCGCTGCCTCCGGAAACCGTAATCGCGAGCCGGCTGGTCGAGGCCTTCGGGGGTGGCGGGATCTGCTGCCGCTGCTGCTGCTGCTGCTGCAGCTGCGGGGACCCCGTTGCTGTCGCCGCCGCCGCCGCTGCCGCCCCTCCTGCGGGAGCGGCGGCGGAGCCCCCGGGAGAAGAGACGGGGAGGAAGGACGAGCCCCCCCGCCCGCTGCTGCCGCTGCCGGCGCCCCCGCTGCCCGCTAGGGAGACTGCGGTGCGCGAGGTGAAGACTGTCGTTCCCGCCGCGCGGCGCTGGCGGTAGGCGACTGCAGGGGTGAAAACACACACACACACGGTTGCAGATAAGGCTTGTTTCCTATCGCACCCACAGCAACAATTAGCATGCGACCAGACACGGTGAATCAGCATGCAGATGCCCCCGCTTTGAACTCCAAGCCAACGCCTGGGAGATCGCACAAGCACTTGAGGTTCTTTCACAGACGAAGATGTTCACTGGCACATTTGTGCACAGTTGGGTCTATACGGCAGGTTACACAAGATATCACACCCCCTGGATCGATTTTCGAAGCTCGATATGTCGGCACGAAAAGCAGGGACGGTGCCGAAAATGGCGGGAGGCGTTGGAACCGTCCCATCGAGAGAGACCTATCCGAAAAAGGCTACTCGTCAATTTCGGCATCCTCTTCGTGGAGTAATCGAGATTTGAAAATCGGTCCAGGGGGTGTGATATCTTGTATCACCTACGGTACATGCAGGCGTGAACGGGGGGGCGTACTCTTAATGTTTTGCATGCCTTAGTTGCTAGACCATTGACCACGCTTCGTTGGGTGGACGGAGCAGCGTTCCTACAGGACCTATCACCGATGGCCAACCGTTCCTTCCTACTTTGCCAAAGGGGGCTCAAAAATGTTCTCCCCACCCTGTCGACATCACTTCCCGCCTTTTCAGCCCAGGGGGTGTGGGAGGGGGCAGAAAATTGGACGGAAGCAATGTGTAGGGGAGGATATGCACCGCTCGGTACCCGCTGAGTACACACGACGTGGACGCTTGTGTGCATTCGAGGCAACGCCAGGACTGGAGCGAGCTCGCCAGGTTTCTCCATCAGGTGGAGGGTTCGGGTTCAGGTACATAGTGTTTTGATATTGAGAAGATGGACGATGGCATTCATATGGGAGGGAGGGTGTCCACCCACAACGACCACAACAATCGGCAACAAGCACACCTCTTGGCGAGGTGAATCAACTCGATTGATGATTGGATTTCGCTACTGCCGGAAAGGAACAAGAGCTGCCTTCGACTGGGGTTATGTCTCGACCGGGTGTCATTTCTTTCTTTGATTGGATGAACATTTCTAAACAGAATGAGAGTGCAGTCACTCGCGCGCCTAGACACAGAACCCAAGCGCTCCATCCAAGCGCGCGCCCTCCTAAAGGTGGCATTCCCCTCCCCGCGACCCCTCGACCCCGGCAACCATACGACGACAACGCCTACTTTAGCCCTAATCCACGCACCTCTCTCCTTGCCCGCCGCGCTCTTCTTGCCTGCTGCCCCCCTGCCGGCCCCTTCCTCTGCCACAAACCCACGAAAAAACAAAAAAAAAAAAAAAATATACAAAAAAAAAAAATAAAAAAAAACAAAACAAAAAAAACAACAAAAAAACAAACA